TGTAAATGGTACGAAGTAACTCATGGTGTCGCTGTGGGCCAGCACAAAGTTGAAATTGACTTCTCCACCCACTGCTACTGCGTTGTTGGGAGTGCTTTTTTCAGAGGAATATATTCATTCTACGAATTTGATCGCTTTAGGGCCTATTGGGTTATTGGCTCGGATATAAAAGCAGGTTTTATCCATAAAGACATTTTGAAAAAGCTGTGGAAATAGTGTGCTATTTTTTTGCCGCGATGATGACAGACAAAGGATATGCAGCGATGCTCGGCCTTGCTCTCGTTCTTATTACGCTTCAGCTCGTTCTTGGAGATCTGAATTATTCTTTTCAAGAAGAACAAAAACGGAATTATGTCATTGGAAATATTGCCAAGGATCTTGGGCTTGATTTGAGGATCTTATCTTCCCGAAAAGCACGTCTCGATAACGAAGGAACTCGGAAGCGCTACTGTGACATTAACATGAATACCGGGGATTTGATTATATCTGAGAGAATCGACCGAGAGAGCCTTTGTGGAAAGAAACCTTCGTGTGTGTCAAAAGTAGATCTGGTACTGGAAAATCCTTTAGAGCTTCATCGTGTCAGTCTCAATATCCAAGATGTGAACGACAACTCTCCAAAATTCAAGAAGGATTTGATCGAAATGGAAATAAGCGAGTCGGCAGAAAAGGGTAACCGTTTCTCAATTGAGGAGGCCCATGATGCAGATGTCGGTCAAAATGCTGTCCAAAGATACATGTTGCAAAAGAACGAAAACTTTATTCTCTCTGTTGACAGCAATAAGGTTGAACTGGTTCTGGAGAATAAACTAGATCGAGAAAAGCAAAAAGAGATGGATTTACTTCTTACAGCTTTGGATGGTGGATCTCCTCAGAGATCAGGTACTGTAGTCATCCACGTGACTGTGCTGGATGCCAACGATAATGCACCAGTGTTCAGTCAGGACATTTATAAAGCCACTGTGCCAGAAAACTCTGCTCCAGATACAATCGTGATTAAAGTTAGTGCTACTGATGCAGATGAAGGAGTGAATGGAGCTGTAACATATGACTTTGGTCATGTTTCTGAAGATGATGTAAATGTATTTGGTATTGACCCAAAAACGGGAGAAATTACAGTTACCGGTGTGATTGACTTCGAAGAAATGGGATCATTTGAATTGAGATTGGAAGCTAAAGATGGTTTGGGACTTACATCTTATGCAAAGATTATGATAGATGTTATTGACATAAATGATAATGCTCCTATGATATATTTAAAATCCGAGTCAAATCTCATACCTGAGAACGTGGCCCCTGGTACAGAGGTGGGCATAATAAATGTGCAGGACAGAGACTCTGAGAGTAATGGACAGGTCCGCTGCTCCATCCAGCAGAACGTCCCTTTTAAGTTGGTTCCTTCTATTAAAAACTATTATTCTCTCGTGACCACAGGACAACTGGACCGTGAAGTGGTGTCTGATTACAACATTACAATCACTGCCACTGATGAGGGCTCTCCACCTCTGTCCTCGTCTAAAACTGTAGAGTTATCTGTAGCTGACATCAACGACAACCCACCTGTGTTTGAGGAGCAGTCGTACAGCGCATATGTGACAGAGAATAACAAACCTGGCTCCACTTTATG